CCAGCCCCCAAACCTTCTTATATACTATGTGATACCTAATTTTATTTATTTTCAGGTAATTAACAGAAATTCCCTATTAACTGAAGTAAGTTCCCAAGAACACTGCTTAAAAAGGACCTAAAAATTTATCAATAAATATAATTTACTCTATCTTTTTTTTTTTTTTTTTTTTTGCCTTTTTCAGGGTCTCTTTACATAGTTCAGACTGGCCTTGAGCTCACTTCGTAGCCCAGGTTGGTCTCGAACTTGCAACAATCCTCTTGCCTCAGCCTCTCGAGTGCTGGGATTACAGACATGTGCCACCATGCCCGGCACATATATGATTTTTGGAAATTTGGTACACACCTGGAATCCCAGCACTCCAGAGGCTGAGGCAGCAGGATCACCATGAGTTTGAGGTGAACCTGGATTCAAGGGCAGCCTGAACTACATAGTGAGACCCTGTCTTAAAAAAAACAAAAAACAAAAACTTGGCCGGTGTGCATACAGCCACAAAGGGAGAGCTGAGGGATACACAGGATACACCTGGGATGTCAGGCTCAATCCTTCACTGGAATGGGAGAGACTGGGAAGCAGCTACTGGGTGGGGCTCTGCTAGGAAGTTTTAGAATAATAAATGAGAATGTTTACATAAGCTAAAGAAAAGAAAGTGACAGAATTTTCTTTTACTTTTTTTGAGACAAAGTTTCGATATGTAATCCAGGCTGACCTTGACATGCTACGCAGCCCAAGTTGGGCCTGAAATCACAATCCTCCTGCTGCCACTTCCCAAGTCATGGGATTACAAGCATGTGCCACCACGTCCAGCATAAAGATGGAATTTTAAATAGACAGAAACTAACTTACATGAGCCATGATTTTAGAGTTGCAACAAGGTTCATTTACTGGAGTAGCAGAGTCCGCAGAGGCCACAGCTGGGGGAAGAATGTGAAGCCATCAGAACACAATTGCCTCAGAGCCTCCAAATGTTAAAAACTTTTAACTCCAAATGTTAAAAACTTTTAACTCCAAATGTTAAAAACTGTTACATAACACTTCTCCACTCCTCCATGTAATCATGGGTCCTAACACACAGACAAGTTATGAGCGGTTAAGAGGTAGATTAGACAAACATCTATCCTCCCAAAACTGTAGGAAAACCAGCTGCACAGAGACTAGACATATAGCAGAGAATCTCCTACATCAAAGCACAAGCTCAGCCACTTCAGCAGAAAAGCTTCCAGTTAGTCTCTGTCCACTACACACGGGGCCGGGTCTGGACCTATGACGACGCTGTCCTGAGAAGATCCAACTCCATTCCCATCTCTCCAGCTCAGAAGAGGCTACATCCTCTAAACCAGAACCTCCTTCCTGGCCTTTCCAAACTTGAAGGCAGAAAACAGCACAGCTAAGCGTTTCCCAAACTTTTTTGCAAATTGGATCACCTGGAAATCTTCATATATACTGATACCTAACCCCTGCACTAAGCATTTTGATACAGTTAATATAGTATATGACCCAGAAATGATGATTTTAAAGACCTCAGGTTTTTATAAAATCTCCCTCTGCATAAGTTTTAGACATTTCTAGCTAAATGGATACAACTTGAGGACATCCTCTTACGTGATATAAAATGGACACGGGTAAATACTGCATTGTTTCTCTGGTATGAGAAACCAAAAGTGTAAATAAGGATCAAAATATATAAGATATTGTGAGATAGGAAGAAAATGTTTAAATGAGAAGGGGAAGTAGGAACGGGGGAGGGGGTAAAGGAAAGAAGGGGGAAAATGATGAGAAAAGTAGGAAAAATGGAAACAAAGCTTTTATAAATATGGGGGAGAAAAGGGGTTGAAAGGAGGATAGGGGAATGGAAAAAAAAATCAAGTTGTGTCACACACAGGTACAGATTCCCAATGATGAATGTGATCATTATGTATACGTAAAATGTACCAATAAACATAATGTAAATAAATAAATAAAATTTTAAAAGTCTCCCTCTGGAGATGGTAATAGGCAGCACAGTTTGGTTGGTAGTCAAACTTCAGTGAGCATCAGAATCACCTGAAGGGCTGGTTAAGCAGACTACTAGGCAGGAGGCTGAAGACTACATTTGAGGATATGCAGTTCCAAAAAGTTCCCAGGTGACACTGCTACTACTGGTATCCAATGCCATACTTTGAGAACCACCTGTACAGACCTTGTCTAGCAGCCTTTATTATGACAAAACTGCAGTTGCAGTTTTGTGTCCCAGTGTGGGTCCCAGCTTAGCTACCATTCCCAGAATTCCCTGAGCTCACTGCTCACTATTTTCCCATTCAGGATCATTAATACTGTCTGCAAGATCATAATTACTACCTAATCTTTCCCAGTATCCAGACTGGGAAGAAGTGAATTTGTGAAACCTGAGCATAGATAATGGTCCAGGAAGAAATAACTCACTGATTCATTAGTTAGAATCCACTAAGAGATGCATACTAAATGAATTGCATTAGCAGATTTGAAAAATTAATTATACTTCATTCAGTATTTACTATGTTTTTGGGGAAACAGATACTAAATAAGAATGAAATGATGTGTGAATACAAAGTAAATATAATGCAACCAGAAAAGCTAACTATCCTTCAACAAGATTAAATATGGTAGCAGTCAAGATTAATATATAAATTTTAAAATATGTAAATTAATAATTTTTTGAATATTTTAATCAGTAATACTTAACAAAATATCATATACTTTTTCTTATGACAAAGTATTTTTTATTATCACATAACATTTCATGACATAGATGGAGTGTGACTTAACCATATTCACATAGATGGATATTAATTTTGTAGAAGAATATCCCCAAAGTCATCTTCAGTTATTCCAGACTTTGATTCTAGGCCAGTGACAATCAATCTTGTTGGGTATACACACTTTGATAAGATGAAATTATGGTTTTCCTCCCACTAATTAACATTTACAAATATATGCAAAACTTCTGAGTATAATACTGAGATTTTTGTTGCTCTGAAAGCCTATAAACAGACTCCAAAGATTTCACATTATGCATTCCTGTCCTGCTTCACTTGAGTTTTTGGCCCATTTTCCTCCTTACAAGAATTCACCATAGTTAACTTCATGTTTTCAGGGTCTGGGGATTTAGCTCAGTGGCACAGCGCCTGCCTGGCAAGTGCAAGGTCGTGAGTTCAATTCCTGGTACCGGAAAAAACAAAAAACAGCACAAAACTTCACGTTTTCATTGCCCTTGGGAATACGGAAAGCTGATAGACATGACCAAGCATTATCAAGTAACAGCAATAGCTCCTTTAAATAATTAATTATGGACTGTGTGCCAAATATTCTTCTAAACCCTTTACAGATATTAACTCATGAAATCTTCAGAATCACCCCCTAAAGTATGTACTATCAATTCTGTAATAATAGTATATACTATTACACTAAGCAAATCAAAGCTCAGAAAATATAACCCAAAGTCAGATTTCAGTGCCATGCAAATCCTCTTAATCTAGGTCTAACATTCTTAACCACATTACACCTCTCAGTCCACCCAAAGGTACAGCTAAAATAAATTCATGTTGCCAAACGCAAACTGTATCTGGCTGGCACCAAAACTTTCACTCACGGATGCCCTGGAGACACTCTTATTCGGGAGTCACTAAAATATCTAACTAACCCCTACACTAGTCCTAACAAATCACAGCCCAAAACAAACCATGAACATCAGCTTTCAGCAGGAGTTATTTGTCTGTCATCAAAATCCTTAGAACGAAGGGCTGGGGATTTAGCTCAGCGGCACAGCGCCTGCCTGGCCGGCATAAGGTCGTGAGTTTGATTCCCAGTACCGGGAAAAAAAAAAAAAATCCTTAGAACGAAATACACAGCACATGCCTAATTAATTACAGAACTGCATGAAAAGCACACTAGAAAGAGGAATCTCCTACTTAGGTCCCTTGCCATTAAACAGGTAGAGAAATCCTCAGGCCTGACTCAATGAATCGATCATTCTTAAGAGTTTTCAAAGGAAGGAAATCAAATAACCCCATGAGGAAATCAAATGCATTTCACAGAAACAAAGAAGCAGCACAAACTCAAGGAGCCCGTCTTTTAGACGAGCACCAGTGACTGGCTGCACTTTAACAAGGGCCCTTTTCTTGGAGACCAGCAAGAAACGGGGTATACAGAGGGGGCTCATGACACCCCAAGCTTTTGTGAACTCGGTGGGAAACCACTCTCCACGCTAACCCCCACCTGCATGCACGACAGCAAATGAGGAGAAGGGAGGTCTGCAGCCACCCGCGTCTGGGATCGCAGCTCTATATACCCCACCACCCCGGGGGCCGCCCTGTGTCTAGTTGCAACTGTGCAACGGTGCTCCCAGCACCCACAGACCCTTCCCAAACCTCTGTCCTGGCTTTTTGCAGCGGTCCTCCACTGTGAGCCTCCTCGGGTTCCGTCTCGGGTTTTCTTTACGACCAGGCCTAGGTGGCAGACGGAGACAGGAGCGCGGAGCCTCAGGCTCTCCCACTGCACAGTAGGCCGCACCCACAAACGGGGCCGGCTCCGTTACTGCCACACAAGCCACCGCGCAACCCCTCGGTCTGAGAGTCTGCAGACCCTGGCCGGTCCCGGACTCGTTTGCTTTGGAAAAACAACCACACCCGAGCCTCGCTCACCCGGACCTGTCCTCACTCAACTTCAAAGATGCCCAGTGTCCGATTCCACCGCGCTAGGGTTCTACAGAAACGCAGGCTGGGTCCGAAGTGCGCAGGCGCAGGCCGGGGCGGGGGCGGGGCCAAGCGTCGGGCGGCCGGGCGCCGGGAGGGGGAATGGAGCGGGGGAGGGCGGCGGAGGTGGGGGGCTCCTAGGTGAAGCTTGAGTCCAGGGCCTCACGCCCATAAAGGGAACCTTCTGAATGACCGGTACTCCTGAGGATAACTGAAGTCGGCACCCGTGTGGGACCTCCAGTTCCAATCCACAAAACTGTACATTCCGGGTTTTCTTTTTAGGTTCGTAGCTCCGCTCCAGCCCACAAGCTCCGCCCCTCGAAGGCGCCTGTGGTTCCAGTCCAGAGTACGCAGGCGCGCGAGGGACCCGGAGAACTGGCTCCAAGGCGGAGGGTGAGAGACGCGCGGCTGCTCTCGCCCGAGTGGTGAGGGGAAATTGGCGCTAGGACCTCGGCTTGGGCTGGAATGGCCAAATCTTTAGGTCTGGAGTGATGACCCGGAGGCGGTCACCACGGCGCTGCTAACTGTGTTCTCTTGCATAAGGTGCTATTGTTTAGGCTTAGCCACTGTACAATTACCATATTCCCCCTTGTAGTTACTGTTTTGTCGGAAGATACACTGATACGATATAAATGTCCTGTTCCTCATCAGACTTTTACGTACTAGTTTTAGCATCTACTGATTAATTTTACGTGAACCACTTATGACTGTAATGGTGTGGTATGGTGATTTTCTAGTTATTTTTCCTGTTATACTTATTAGTTGATATTCTAGTGTAAGGAAGCACTTTCTCACCCATGAATTTTATTTAACTTCTTAACATTATGGGTTCTTATTTATTCAATGAATTATCCATTTTTTTCATTTTGGTACTTAGCTTATCCAAGATTTGGCCCGTGGGAGCCCCTTCTAGCTGGATATTGTGTCCTGAGGGGTTCCTACCATATTTTACTATTTTCTTTTTCTTTTATTTATTTATTTACTTTTAAGGAATGATAAAAAAAAAAAAAAGAACAGTAGCAAAATACCAACAACATAGACAAAAACAAAACAAAGCACAAACAATAAAAATGATACAAGGTTTCAGAACAAAATGATAGGAATCAACAGTGGCTGTTGTATTATACATTGCTATCCCCAGCGAAGTTGCTCAGATTACCAGATGTAAGAATGCAAGATTGATCAAACCATTAAAGAGAATTAAAAAAAAAAAACATTAAAAACGATACAGAGCTTCACTAGACAAGATGGTAGGAATTCACCAGTGGTTGCTCTATTGCATATTGCTGTCCTCAAATTAGCTGCTCAGACCACCAGATACAAGCATGCAAAATTGGTCAAAAAAATTAGACGTTAGCTGTTCCTTTCAATAAACCACCAGACTTCAGCAATACAGTTATCCCAGCTCTCCTTCTATATACATACATATTTTCCCCTTCTTTCTTTCTTTTTCTTCTTTCCCTCATCCCAGTTGTTCCTTCCTTTGAGCAATTTCTTTCCCTTTCATACTATCTATTGTTACTATTTTCTTATGTTGTGGCATAAAATATATTTCAGGTGTCACTTTTAGTGTCCTAGCCACAGTGTGGGAAGCAAGGCAGTTACTTAAATAAGGATAGAGAAATAGGAAGAAGACATTTGGTCACATATGCAAGTCAGATGAAGGATTTTACAGTTAAGCAATAGTAAACTTTCATTTCAAAAATCAGCACTGTTTATTAACATATACAGAATATACTAAATATACAGAGTGGAGTTTGGAAGATTTAAGAGTCTTGGAAAGAGCTGGGGGTGGTGGCGCACACCTTAATCCCGGCACTCGGAAGGCGGAGGGAGAAGGATCTCTGAGATTTCGAGGCCAGTGTGGGCTACAGAGTGAGACCCTGTCTCAAAAAACAAACAAACAAAGAAAACCACAAAGAGTCTTGGAAAGGAATTTATGTAAGAAATGATGATGACTTAAGCTAAGGATAAAGAGGTACCTTAAAAGGGACACCTTTTTGACAATGAGCATATTACTGAATAGTAGATCGCTTCTCCGCCTTTTGGCTAAGAGCAAGTATAGCTGAGTAGTAGAGTGTTTAGCGTGCACATGACCCTTGTTCTATTCCTACCACCAAATAAATAAATATAAAATACTGTGTGTGATAGCATGTGCCTATATGCCCAGCTACTTTGGAGACTGAGGCAAAAAGATCACTTGAGCCATGGGGTTCTGTATCAGTTAGGACAACACAGTAAGTCGCCATCTCAAAAAAAAAATTTTTTTTAATGAGTGACATACAGAAAATATTGTCATCAGTTGACTCTGAGTGCTGGCTATGTAATGTTCATAATTTTAATGTATTTTTATATTTTAAAATAATTTTTAAAAAGTAGGTTTAGAGGCTTTTATAGGTAAATGGATGCTCAAAAGTTAAGTAAATCGGACCCACATGTGTAAACATCATATTGTCTCCCTAGTGTAAGAGCTGAAAGAGTAAATAAAACCCAAAACATACAATAGATATTATGAGAGGGAGAGAAATTGCTCAAAAAAAGGGACAAGTGGAATAAAGGAAAGGAGAACAAGAAAGAAGGAAGGGAAAAATATATATGTGTATGGATAGCTGGGATAATCATACTGCTGATGTCTAACGATTTATTGAAAGGAACAGTGAATGATTAATTTTTTGACCAATTTTGCATGCTTATATCTGGTAATCTGAACAACTAATTTGAAGACAACAATATGCAATATAACAACCCATTGGTGAAATCCTCCCATCTTCTCTAGTGAAACTCTATGTCATTTCTAGTTTTTTTATTATTTTTTATTCTCTGTAATGGTTTGATCAATCTTGCATTCTTACATCTGGTAATCTGAGCAATTTCGTTGAGGATAGTAATATGTAATATAACAGCCACTGTTAGTTCCTATCATTTTGTTTTGAAAACCTTTATCATTTTTATTGTTTGTGCTTTGTTTTGTTTTTGTCTATGTTGTTATTTTTTTATCCTTTTAAATAAAAATAAAAAGGCAGGCTTAACATTTTGCACATAAATAAATATGCCATATATTTATTTTTATAGAAGAAATAGAAGAAACTATTTCATAAAATTAAAACATTAAGTACAGATTTCAAACTATGGGTAAATAAATAAAAGGAGGATAAAATGCATATTTTCTTTGTCCATTTATCTGTTGATGGGTAAAAAAGGCTGCTTCCAGAGATTAGCTGTTGTGAGTTGTGCTGCTATAAACATGAGTATGTATATGTCATTGTAATATGATGAGTTCAAATATTTTGGGAAGATACTCAGAAGAAGTATATCTTTGTCAAATGAGATTTCTAGTCTTTGTTTTTTGAGGAATCTGCACACTGAATTCTAGAGTGATTGTACTAGTATACATTCTCATCAATAATGCAGAAAAGTTCATGCATCTCTGCAACCTCACCAGCATCTACTTGTATTTTTGAGTCCTTCCTAAGCACTATGCTTATTGGAGTAAGATGGAACTTTCAGTTTTTCCCCATTTAATGCAATGTTGGTAGTGAGTTTGTCATAAATGGCTTTTTCAATTTGAGATAAGGTCTTTTATTACCTATTTTCATCAGTTTTTCAAAATCATGAATAGATGTTACATTTGTTAAACATTTTTCTGTATCTATTGAAGTGATGATTTTTATCCTTGCTTCCACTTACATGGTTTACATTTATTGATTTGTGTATGATGAACCATACTTGCATCCCTGGGATGAAATCAACCTCATCCTGACATATGATCTTTTAAATTGTTTGACACATTTTCTTTGCAAGTATCTTATAGAGATTTTTGCATCTTTATTAAGGATTATTAAGGAAATTGGCCCTTAGTTTTCTTTTTGTGTGTGGAGTCCTTGTCTAGTTTTATTATCAGGGTAATATTAGCATCAAAGAATGAGTTCAGCAGTAACTTTTCCTTTGAATTTCATGGAAGAGTTTGAGGTGTATTAACATTGGTTCTTCCTTAAAGTGCTGGTAAATATCAGCAAGTTCAGCCCATTAGGTCCTGGGCTTTTCTTATTTTGTAGGGTTTTCACTTATTTTGGTAGGGTTTTGACTTCACTTCATTGTCTATTATTGGTCTATTCAGGGTTTTTATATCTTCTTGGTTCAGCTTTAGTAATATGTATATGTCTAGAAATTCATCCATTTTTTTCTCAATTCTCCAATTTACCGGAATATGTTTTTGAAATAGTTTCTTAGCCTCTAGATGTCAGTGTTGTTCATCATGATTTCACCTTTTAAATTTCTAATTGCAGCATTGAGTTTTTTCTTTCCTTCTTTTGGTAAATTTAGTGAAGGGTTTATCAATCTTGTTTATCCTTTTGAAGAACCAACTCTTTTATTTGTCGACCCATTGTATTTTTTTAAATCTTAATGTCATTAATCTCTACCATCACCTTTATACTTTCTTTTCTTCTACAATTTTTGAAATGTGGATTGTTCTTTTTTTTAATCTTAAGATGCGTCGTTAGTTTATTTGCTTGGGATTGCTCTACTTTTCTAACATGGGTGTTCACAGCTATAAACTTCCCTCTTCAAACTGCTTTTATTGTGTTCCATAGGTTTTGGTATGTTGTGCTGCCATTGTTATTGCCATTGTCTAAAAATTGTTAAATTTCTTCCTTGATTTTTTTCTGTGACCCATTGCTTATTCAAGAGTAAAAGATTAAATCTTCATGTGTTTGCATAGTTTCTATGTTGTCTTTTTTTGTTGATTTCTAGTTTTCATTCTACTATGATCTGATAGTGTGAGAAAGATTATTCTGACTCTTCTGTATTCATTTACCTAAAATATGGTCTATTTTGGAGCAAGTTCTGTGTACCACTGAGAAAAAATGTATATTCTCCTGTGTGATGAAACACTCTATGGACACCTGTTAAGTCCAATAGTTTAATGATGTGGTTCAATTCTGATAAATTTTTTTTGTCTAATTGACCTATTTGTGAGACTGGGATAGTTAAGTCCTTTATTATGATTGTATTGCTATCTACCTGACCTTTCAGGTCAAGTAGTATTTATTTTATGAAATTGGTGTGCTGACATCAACGAATATATATTTATAATTTTTATCTCTTTCTGTTGAACTGCTCCTTTTTTAAGTATATAGTGATTTTCTATGTCTCTTCTGATCATTTTTGGCTTAAAAGACCATTGTGTCTAAAAGTAAAATAACTACTTCTTCTTTCCTTCAAACTCCCATTGCATGGAGTGTCCTTTTCTGTCTTTTCACTTTCAGTCTATATGTTTCTTTGAAGATGAGGTGGATCTCTTATGGGCAGTCATAGTTACTTTTCTCATTGCTGAGACAAAATACCCAACACCCAAAGTTAAGGAGAAAAAGTTTGTTTGGCTCACAGTTTCT